TTTTTTTAATTAAAAATGTTTGTCACAAACTTTCTTCAAGAAAGGTCCTTCCTTTCCGAACTCTCATGTATCATTCCGGTGGTTTTCCTGGTAAACTATTTTGATGTGGAATATCTGCGCACTGATTTCCACGTGCTGCTTACTTTTCGAAGGCAATTTTTTAATATACTCGTTGCTCTTGGGGAGCCCGTGGCTGGCCATCCATTTCAAATATAAGCCTGCGTTTATGTGACTGTAGTCGTATGGCTGCTGAATTAATCAAATGGAATCCGGTAGCAGGTATTTTAGTGGTTTGTCTATCCCTGTGAAAATCACCAGGCTCGCGGTCAGCCGTGGGATTAACTGATTGTTATCATCAATCGCATAGATTCAGCTTCTTGCTTAAGGCACCGCTTTTCACTTGGTGGTCGTATAAACAGCCACGTACATATCCACTGCATTCCTAGTAGCAAAGTGGACAAAATCAGGCATACATCCGGCATATCTATCCAGATTTTTCTAGTAGGATTCCATGATGGAATCCGCTTAGATTTGCTACTAGGGTAGACGTAGATCAAGTTGGCTCCGAACGACTTGCCCACGATTATGGTTGTCTGTCCTTCGTCTGCTGAGACAATAATAATTTCATCGTCGCTCTTGAATTCATCAATGGCCCTTACCGTCGTCAGAAGAAAGTAAAACTTGTGAGAAATTGTGATTGTCACACTAGACTGGTTGGCGCGACAAGACAGGCGAACCATTGACTTGTGAGAGGGTGAGTCATGTTAGGTTCGCGAGCGAAGGAGAAGGGAGAGGAATGACAGCCTCCTGTGCTAGAGGGGCCTAGTAGCAAATCCAAGCAGATTCCATCATGGAATTCTACTGGAAAAATCCGGATACATATGCCGGATTTTGTCCACTTGATCTGCATGTGCTACTACAGATGTTATCCTGCTGTCTTATTTACTTCCTCAGAATGTGGCAACTGTTTAATTGTGGAAATTACATATTTACACGAATTGCTCAAATTTTGAACCCACTTGAAGGAAATTCTTTGAACTGGGTTCTCACAGCTGTAACGCCTGCAGTAGTGCTGATAGTTTGTTAAAGTAGTCTACCTTCTGTCTGTTTTCATTGAATGTTCGGGATTTTCTAGCTGGTCAACACTTGACTAAGTTTTGTGTAAAACTTCGTTATTTCAGCGTTTAAGTCACATCCGTGGGTAAATCTCCTGTATCATTCATTGGTAACCTATGTATTTTGGTTAGTAGTTCTTTTTATGTAAGCGTGTAAGTTTCTGTCTCGGGTACTTACTTAAATCGTCGAGGTTTTGCCGTAATAACGGCTTTTTGAGTCTCGATAAAGTACCGTTAATGCAGTCTCCTTACCCGTAGTCTAAAACTGTGGCATTTGCCGCGGACGCGTTGCGTTAGTTTGCTCAAATGTGTTATGAATACAGCGTATTGTTGTTGCTGCGTCTGATGGTCTTGAGTTAGCCAGCCTCGCCGTCTGCCTCAAATTATATACATGCTGGGTGCGCGAACTTTGACCTGCCAGTTCGTTGTCGTCTACATTTGGTCTCCTAGAGGTTGACTGCTGGTGGACTTGCGTGACCTTCGTCCCCTCTGCGGCCAGCGCAGTTGTAGGCGAATCAATATGCTTGCTGGCCTCCCCCACGTCAACCGGCGGACCGATCACTCGTTGCTGTTCATTTGACTTGATTTGTATCTTCGCCTAACCTCCCTCCGATATATTTACTGTTTATTTAACTCT